AGTGAAATAGTACAATTTTGAATTATTATTTATCATATATAATCAAATTAACATATTATTAACTTCCGGCCATTATTTCCGGTATAACCACATGACAACATTTGTTTGAATTATTCAACACACAATTGGGAAGCCATGTTTGTATGTTTATAACGTGTTCAAAATAGTGAAGTTCTTTAGTTCAATTAATCATCTGAATTGGATTGTGTCTAGTTCGGTGTCTTCTGCTGGATGAACAGGTAGGTCATTTTCGTCAGAAAATATATAATTTAACAACCCTCGAAAACGAGATCGGCATTCGGCAATGCCGACCTTCAGTATTAAAATGCCGACCTATCAACCTCCCATGCCGGCAATGTTTTGCCGACCTTAATTCAGCCAAAGTAAGAATCTTTTTGGTTCTTATAGTTGTTAAAAAGTCAGCGATTATAGAATTCGATGCACTTTGGTGTAAGGTTTAAGAATTAACGGGTATATTTATGATATAATTTAGGTAAAACTCTAAAAGAAAAGGTTTCGTGACATTTATACTTTTCAATGATTCGTAAATACGTGATTACTAGTGCAGGCTACTAGTGCTCCAAGACATGGAAACAGATTTTAAAAAATGCCGAGATAGGTCAGATTTAGGTCGGCATTTTTTTTCCGACCTCAATTTTGACGGTTTTCGAGGGCTGATTTAAAAATTAAAAAGGGCAAAATTTGTGAATTCCTCCATTTTGAAATTTTTTACAGCAATAAAGAAAATAAAATTTAAAGTTTGTATCCTGAGTGCTGATTGGCTAGTGTAAATACTAGACTGATTTTCATTGGCTGTAGACAAGAGTGCGATTACAGCTCAGAAAAGGTGCGATTAATGCTCAAATCGCACTCCTGTAAACCAATGAAATTGCAGTATTTGCCACTGATTACAGAAGATAAATAATTAATGAAATAATTGTACTCCTCTCAACCAATCAGCATGCTGTAATTTTGTCATGCTAATAATAAATGAGAAAATTGATCACTTTAATAAATTATTTATAAATACTCTGAACAAACACGCGCCCATCAAACACATCCGAATTACAGGCAGACTTAACCAGTTTATTAATAAAGATGAAATTGAATTTTCCGACTCCACGTAACGCGGAAGATTGGGTCAGTGTCTATAAGCAACTTAGGAATTATACTAGAAAATACATGCATGCAGCAACCCCTCGCCTTTCTTAACAGATGAAGTATAAAAACCCCACATAAAGTATTACGACCATTATAAACAAACATAAAGCCCTCATAAAACACAACTGATGCGCTAGCTTTATAATGAACGATAACTTTCGCTGCAATGTCATGCATACCAGCTTGCATTATAGTGAATTATCGAGTTAAGAATGGCTTAAAAATTTTGCAGATATGAATAAAACCGACAACACAAAGCAAGTCCGGCATGGAATTTTACTACTGAGATGTTTACACTTACCCAAACCGGCACAACAACGATTAAATTATCAAAGACATCAACATCAAAACATCAAAACAATTATTATACAAACTTTGTTTCACGGCTCAACAGCCACCAATTCATGAAACTGCAATGCAGAAACCATAGCAGAAACCCTCGCCTTGCTGACACAACCATTGTATTTTCCAAACATGAGCATGAAGTATCTAAAGTAGTTGTCATGGTGACACGATAATTTTTTAAGAATATTCTTACAAATGAAAAATCGACTACAAATATCACTTTTAATTACAAAATTATCAATTTCCCAACATATATATGTTAGGTATGTTATTATGCGTAATATAAGCTTCAATTTAAGCGTCAAAAGTGTAAAATTTAAGCGTTTAAAGTGTTCTTTATAAAACTAAACTGCCTTTTATAATTAAATGGCTTTATCGATAAACTTTGAGTTTGCAAAAAAATGATTTCAAATTCTCGCATACAAATAACTTTGCTTTCCTTTTTTATTTAAAAAAATTCAATATAATAAAGAAGGGAATCAGTATTAAAGATACACTGAAATTATATGCTGTCTCGTTTAGTTGTTTCATATAGGCCGTCGGGTTTTAAATTAAAGCAATTATAAAATCAATTTTTAAAACAAACTTACCTTTGTTAACGTTGGCTCCCTTCTTTTAGCCGATTCTTTTGCCCTTTCTTTCGGAGACAGCTTTTGAAATTTACAAAATCTTGCAAAAATGAAATATATTTGCAAGAACTTTATCAATCATCAAATCAAGAAATGTTTGCTATTTCGCTGTCGTCATTCAGTCGTTATAATGCAAACTTTGAATTGGACCAATCAGTGTCCGCTATTTATGACAGTCCGCCATATTTTTGAGATCAGTGAGGATGACCACCCACACAACACTCTAACACTGTTGGTGACCCTCGCCTGCGTTCATTGATGAACTTTATAGACTTCGCTAATGCTTTCATTTCCCCGGGTGTAAATAGCGGGGGAAATTAGTACCCTCGCACGGCGCTTCGCGCCGTCGGCTCGGGGATTAAGATTATCTCTATGAACAGTAGAGTCCAACTATGTCCGGAATCAAATCGAGGAATATAAAGACAATTCAGGATCTATGTCGAAGGTGATTAGGAGGTGTCTACCGAGCAACGATTCAGAAAAACCCGTTTACCAGAAAGACCACAAAATATTAGCCAGTGAATTTAATGAATATTTTGCTTCTGTGGGGAAGACTGCATCCGACAAGGTCAAGAGACATGCGGAAGTTAACAATATTCAGATAACAACTGCTTTATCACCTTAATTTGAGACACCGATCTTCTCTTGATCTGTTTGAATTTAGAACAGTCACACCTGATGCAGTTAGAACAATAATTTTAAATAGACCACCAAACAAAGCTCCATGCAGGTGCCGATAAGATAAATACTCAATTTATTAAAGATTCACTTGAAGTAATTTTAGACCCTGTTATGGATATTATCAACTGTTCCTTGATGACGTCAACATATCCTTCGATGTCGAAGATAGCAGAAGTGGTACCGCTACAAAAGGAAGGGGTCAAGGAGATCCTCAAATACCTTCAGATAACCGACCGATTTCACTGCTCATGTCATGTTTGTCAAAAATATGCGACAAAGTCACATTGGATCAGTATACAGAACGGGGTAGGCATTTTTCGAGTTAAGCCCTTCGGCTTAGGCCCCTGCCACGCCCTTTTTCGCCGGGGGCTTATCTCGAAGTCAATTAACGATTTAAGCATTCGAGTTAAGCACCTACATTTGGTGGATGTAAGCTCTGGGAAAGACATCATTTGTACCTGGCGTACAAATGCTATCATGAATTATCTCCTCCAACTTTGCAGTCAATCTTTTCGAAAAATGTTCACCGCTACCAACTTAGAAATAAAATGACTTATAAACTTCCTAAACCGAACACGGACTCTCTTAAGAAATCAATCTCCTTTCAAGCTGTTAGTCTATGAAACGGACTGAGCCTTGAACTAAAAATTAGTAGAACGTTTAAAGAATTTAAAAAGTCTGTTAAAGCGCTTAAGTTGTAATATATGTGTGTATAATAGTTTGGGTCATGCAAGTGTCAAATAATGTGATTGTTTGTTATGTGTTTTTATGTGAACAATTATGCTATAGTGAACAGTTACTCTATAGTCATGTTTTCGTGGAATTTATTTATTTATTTATTTAATGAATTTATTGAGCAATCTACATACGTACTATATCAGGTACAAAGATAAAAACTTGACAAACGAAAGACAAAACACACGTCACAAATCACAAATTAGTAGATACACTCAAACGGAAAAGCACAAACGGGACACTAAAAGTCCCATGCGAGGTGCTCCCCGTAATTAGTTTTGATATAGTTAATTAATTACACACACACACACACATATATATTACTTGTGGTATTAAGTCCTATGGCAAGGACAGTCACGATTTGTTACTTAGTTAGTTACACAACCACATCAGCTATGCTGTAAAATTATCGTGTTCAAATAATTATTATTTAGCTACTTTTCTAACCGATTTACTCGGGCAGGACAAGATCTAGGACTAAAATTATATTATGTAAACTCGTTTTATAGTTTTACGGTGACTATTTACATGACACAACCGAGTAAATCAGCTTGCCAAGAACCCGTCAGAGAAAGAACAGACAGAAAGAAATTAAAGATGTCACGCTCTATTATTCATGATCATGTCCCGGAGAAGAGATATATCTTAGAAAGGTAGTTCGCCTCCATATGAACATGCCAAAGATTTGCGTTCTGCAAGTGCCGCTGTATATTATTTAGTTTTTAAAGCCGTAATTGCTACTCTGAAAGTTCTGAATGTGCTGTGTTTACAAATCCTTATTGAGTTCTCTCATTTCACGATATCATTGTCTGTATAAACTGTAGGCAAAGCAACAGAGATCTTAGTAAAATATATTTCTTACAGGTGCTGAAATTTTACATTCTCCCTCTTTATATATATTTGCCAATATTTTTGCGAGTATACACGCGTCATTTGTTTACATCCACCAAATGTCGGGGCTTAACTCGAATGCTTGAATCGTTAATGAACTTCGAGTTAAGCCCCCGGCGGAAAAGGGCGTTGCAGCGGCTTAACTCGAAAAGAGGGCTTAACTCGAAGGGCTTAACTCGAAAGGCTTAACTCGAAAAATACCTACCTCATACAGAACATCTAACAAACCACAGATTATCGACGAAGCATCAAAGTGGTAACCGGAAAAACATTCCACTGAAACACTTAACATTGCAGTAACAGCCATGTTGTTGGAAGCAATGGACAATAAGCTATTATCTATAGTTATATTTTTGGACATATCTAAAGCATTCGATAGTGTTGGTCACGACATTCTTCTTCAAAGAATTCTAAACCTAGGTGTGCTGTATCTTCTGCAGTGCATGAGTGGTTTAAAAGTTACTTATCCGACAGATGGGAGTATGTTAGAATTGGAACTACCTCTTCGGCATCTGTTGCATTGTCGTATGGAATTCCTCAAGGCTCTGTGCCATCGCCGTTTTTATTTAATATTTACGCAGATAGCTTGTCTTCAGTTCCAACAGTTGTAGTCTTGAATCGTATGTTGACGACTCGAAAACATTTCTATATCGTTTACATTATCGCATATGGAACACTCGTTACTGCATATAGAAGAGGATCTACACAGAGCTTTTGAATGGTGTTGTAACAACAGTCTTCTTGTAAACCCAGAAAAGACCAAAATGTTGGTGGTTGGTACACGGCAACTCATGAATCAATTGGAATCTCCCGTCCATATTAATTTTATGTAATGATTAGAGCATGGTCACGTGTGCTCTATGGGATATAGAGTCCTGAGAATTAGTTAAATGGTCACGAGGGGGAGTTATTTTGGTTCCTACAAACAGGTGATCTCAGGCAATCATTAAGAAAACGTTTTGGGTAATCGTTTTCCACTAAGCCTTCGCTCGCTTAAAAATTCAAGCGACAGTAAAAGCATGCGCGTGACGTCACTGAGTACATGTTAGAAGAATTTCAATGTCGATCTTTTCTTTAAAATTATTTACTATCTTCTACTTATATTATAAAAGAAATAGAAAAACTCGTCTCGTGCGTTTATGGTGTGATAACGCACTCGGGGAATGTTGGGAGTATGCTTGAGAAGCGTGTAAAAATTCTCTGAAATTCCTCAAGAATTAGCAATAGAAACACCAGGCGGAAATCGAATTCTAGTTAAAAATATTATAACTCGTAAAAGAGGCATATTCAAAAAACATTTGGTATATAAAATTATTGAGTAACGTTTCGTCACATTACAAGCGACATCATCAGACTTTTAAATACAGTTAAGCTATTTCATATATTTTATAACAAATTTTGAAAAAATATATGATATACAATTACAAACGGTTAAAAAGTTAAAATTAGAAATATACAATGTTCATGGTATATTGACATGTACAAGATATTGAGATAAGTGAAAGATATACATTTAAAAAAAAAGAAACGTCAAGTGGTTAGCGTCAGTGTTAAAAGATGTTAGTAAATTAACAAGGGGGAACACCTACTTAGAAAAATGTTAACGGAAAAGACCGGACATTATAAATAAGCCATGGTTTAGTTAGAGCAATTAGTAAGCTTTCTTTAATAAGAATATCATGGTTATTATTAGCTGAAGTAACAATTTTAAAATCACTTGGTTCGATTGGATGACCGGCTTCTCTAGAATGATCCGAAATACTAGATTTTGAAACACACGAAAGAGGATTGCCAGTCAAAGCCGAAATTCCGCAATGCTCGGAGATTCGTGTGTGTAAATGTCGACATGTTTTGCCCAAATACAATGCGTTACAGCATTGACACTCAAATTGACACACGACATGAGATCTCAGATTAAGAGGATAAACGGCATATTGGTTTAAAAATCCCACGTAGTTCCACTTGAGGAAAAGCCGAGGAAAACAATTTGTGTAATTATTGACGGATCTGAATAGCATGATTAATTCCCCGAATACGGGTAAAGCAATCGGAATAAGAAATTTTGAAACCGTAGGCGTTTGAACTTTGAGAGGTGGAGAAATCATTTTATCTAAAAACATTTTGACGCATCTATCTATGAAAAATTTTGGGTAACCATTTTGAAGTAGTAACTTTTTGAATTTTTCAAGTTCAGCTTGAAAAATTTGATATGAGGAGCAGATGTTGAAATAACAAAACAAGAGAGAGAAAATGAAACCTTTTTTGTAAGCAGTCGGTAAAAAACATTCAAAATTTGTAAAAAGACCAGTAAAGGTTGGTTTTCGATAAACAGAAGTTTCAAAATTCCCATTAACACGTTTAATACTGATATTCCGAAAAGGCAAAGTTTTATCATCATTTTCAATTTCAAAAGTAAATTTAATGTTGGGATGTTTCGAGTTAAGGTAATCAAGGAAAGGAGCAATAAGATCACGTGAGTTAAACAATACAAATGAGTCATCAACATAGCGGCGGGAAAAAATAGGGGCGCTTTCCATCAACACGGCTAGACCGGTCAGAACGGTCAAATTGTCGAATGAAATACAAAATATTTGGGCTTCGGAACTATCTGACCGGAAATTTTAGATAACATTAGAATGAGGTCCATTTTCGATGGATATTTGAGAAACATAGACCAGATCTTTCCATTGATACGGAGAAAAGAATTCGGGTCTGACCGGTCAGGCCATTAAATGGAAAGCGCCTTAGGTTTAAAGCTGTCGGGACAATTATCAAGCCATTCTTTCTCATGAAAGGACAAGAAGATGTTTGCGAAAAGCGGACCAAGAGGACTACCCATAGCTACGCCATCAATTTGATCATAGTATTTTTCATCAAAAATGAAATGACAATTTTTAACCGCTAAATTGAGTAATTGAACAAAATTAATTCTGTTTTACTAAATCCTTGGTAAAAAGTTTGAGTTGAGTATAATTGTCCGGAAATTATATCAATCGTCTCGTCTAAAGGAATATTAGTGAATAAGGAGGTTACATCAAAACTAGCCATAATTACGTTGTTTAATAGTATTAACATTTAAAGACAACAATTCGTGAATGAAAGAAAAAGAATCATTAATAGTGTGCGGATTAGTAGCTAAAGGGCAAAAGAGAAACCAATAACTTAGCTAGACTATATAGGAATGAGATTTGATGGCAGATAGGATAGGTCTTAAGGGAATACCATGTTTGTGTATTTTGGGCAATCCATATAGTCAGGGGCGGCGCTTCAGGGGGTGTGGGGTGGTAGAACACCCCCCCCCCCCCACTCGTCAGCTAATCGGCAAATTGTTATCTCAGTCGGCAAAACTGGATTGGCTAAAGATAACCACTGAAGAAACCAAAATTGACCTCCTGAGTAATTGAATTCAAACCGAATATCACGAATAGCATGCATCAAAGAAACTACACATGCAGCAATGCAAATTCTTTCGAATACAGTATCTTCACTTCTTTCAGTCCAAAAACATAATATTATTGAAATCATAATTAGGTATTAAATTTGTTTGGTTGTTGTTGTTGTTGTTGTTGTTGTTGTTGTTGTTGTTGTTGTTGTTGTTGTTGTTGTTGTTGTTGTTGTTGTTGTTGTTGCTTATTATACTGTTCTATAAAAGAGGCAATAAAGTCGGTTTTCCACTAGCGAATTTTCTCGCACGAAGCGACCTTTTTCCTTTGTCGGTATCACTTATTACGTCAGCAAGACGTGGCAAAATCAGTCCTCGAAAACGAGGTCGGCATTCGGCAATGCCGGGCTAAATGCAAATTTTGCCGACCTTAATTCAACCAAAGTAAGAATTTTTTTGCTGCTGATAGCTGTTAAAATGTCAGCGATTATAGAATTCGATTCGTAGTTCGATTAATTGAACACACTACGGTGTAAGGTTTAAAAACTGACGGGTATTGTGTATGTACGTTAAGTGTCTGAAGATCAAATTTCGCGCGTCTGGAGTTAAAATTTGGCTCCAACATTCGAATTTTCCGGCTGGAGGTAACGTTCCAGTTGTATTCCGATTTCAATGATTCGTAAATGCGTGATTAATAGTGCTCCAAGACGTGGAACAGATTTTAAGAAATGCCGGGTTGTGCCGACCTAGGTCAGATTTAGATCGGCCCTCTTTTGCCGACCTCAGTTTTGACGGTTTTGACTTTTCGAGGGCTGCAAAATGGATGCCGACAAAAGAAAAAGGTCGCTTCGCGCAGAAAAATTCGCTAGTGGAAAACCGACTTAATAGAGGGTAATAAAGCGCATTTAAACATGCACATTTACTATAGATGGCCCTGAAGGGGTAAAATGGGAACTGGGATTGATCTATTTTTAGACTGGGAAAATGGGATTTGGGTTGCTGGGACTGGGATTTGGCCACTGGGAATGGGAAATGAAGTCCTCGAAAATGGGAATGGGATTGAAGTAATGTGAGTCGATTCCCAATTTTGATCCGTTTTTGGTGTCTTCAGTCATGATTTTTGTTGTTAACTATACTATTCACAGCACTACTCGGCGAACAAGCATACTCGGTTTTTCTGATTATGCGTGTCTCAGAATGATGCAAATGCCATTTCCGGGATTTAAATTTTAAAATTTTCCGTGCCTTCGGCACCGGCCCCCCCCCCCCAATATTTCATAAAGTGTCCGCCACTTGACACACGGTGGCTTAAAAGGACTTAAAACTGTTTATTCTACCGATAAATGAAGGGTTTTTTATTGACTAGGATTTCAATAACTCGAACTGGGATTTCTAATAAAAATCCAACTGGGACTGGGATTTTGCCAAAATTTCAGGTGGAAAATGGGATTGGGACCCCCCCCCCCTCTTTTGGGACCCTCACTATAGGCTAATGACTCGGAAAAATAACCAAACAACAGTCGGCAAAAGATCACAGCTCACACCCCCCCCCACTCGAAGAGGGTTAGCGCCGCCCCTGCATATAGTACGCCAGGTCTTGAACCCTTTGGAACAAGTTTCTTATATGTTTTCCTCTGAAATGACACCATTGTTCTTTAACGTTTTGAGAAAAGTTTTAACAGGATCATCAATCATAGGTATACAAATTTGTTTTCATCACTTAATATATCATGCATCCTACTAATGTAATCAGTTCTATCTAGTACTACGATCCCTCTAGTACTACGATCCCATTTCCTTTATCAGGCTTAATAATAATGAAAACAAATTTGTACCTATATTTGATGATCCTGATAAAACAATTATTAAGTGAGAAGATAAGGTACGAACTTTTCTCAAGACATTAAAGAACAATGGTGTTATTTCAGAGGAAATATATAAGAAGCTTGTTCCAACGGGTTCAAGACCTGGCATACTAGGGCCTATATGGATTGCCCAAAATACACAAACATGGTATTCCCTTAATTAGACCTATCCTATCTGCCATCAAATCTCATTCCTATAGTCTAGCTAAGTTTTTGGTTTCTCTTTTGCGCCCTTTAGCTACTAATCCGTACACTATTAATGATTCTTTTTCTTTCATTCAGGAATTGTTGTCTTTAAATGTTAATACTAACAACGTAATTATATGGCTAGTTTTGATGTATAACCTCCTTATTCACTAATATTCCTTAATTTAGACGATTGATATAATTTCCGGTCAATTCTACTTAACTCAAACTTTTTATCGCGGATTTAGTAAAACAGAATTTGTTCAATTACTCAATTTAGCGGTTAAAAATTGTCATTCATTTTTGATGGAAAATACTATGATCAAATTGATGGCGTAGCTATGGGTAGTCCTCTTGGTCCGCTTTTCGCAAACATTTTTTTTGTCCTTTCATGACAAAGTATGGCTTGATAATTGTCCTGATAGCTTTAAATCTATTTTTTCCCGCCGCTATGTCGATAACTCGTTTGTATTGTTTAACTCACGT